GATTGCAAAAGCATTGAAATTCTTGAATTCCAAAATTAAAAAAAATAATAAAAAAAAGTATTCAAAATCTGTTGAAACATTAACTCCATAACAACTTAGGAAAAAACTTTCTAATTCTTCTTAAATAGATCAATCGCATATTGTTTCTTCATATTAGTTGGAGCTTGATAGAAGATGCAGAACTTATGTTCTTCCGCCATGAGAATTGTAGCAACCTCTAAAGCCTTGGATGGAGATATGCCATCTAACTTCATCACCTCGTCCAAAACCTTGTTCACTTTTTCATCCATCCTTTGCTCCGTTTTAGACCATGCACTAGCCATAGTCCCGAGACTAACATTGATATTTTCAAATATCTTCCCAAAATTGTTGGATACATCATGGAGGGAGGCCACCAAATCATCATCATTATTCCTACACAAACTCTTCAAATATACCTTGTTCTTTCCTTTCACTTTAGTCTCCTTCGCCTTTATAGAGCGTTTTCCGGATTGAGTAGTAGAATCACTTGCAGAAGAATGAATTGTAAAAGCCTTCACTTTTGCCATTTTTGAAGGAGTTATATGATCATCCTCTATCTTCATGGGGCGTTTTCCGGATTGACTTGTAGAAGAATAAGTGTCCGAATGAGTAGAATTCACATCATCATCTTCATCACTCTCGACATTCAATGGTTGCTTATCAATCTCTTGATCCATATCTTATATGGCATCAACGAATGACTCACTTACATCTCCGGTAGCTTTGTTTTTTGCATATATTTCTACTATAGTTTCATAATGAACAACGAATGTAACTCCAAACAACCCCTTAGCTTTCATATGAGTCTGCCATATAAGAGAGAATACAATAAGATTAATTCACAAGATTAATGCATAACTCTGTATGCAGCAACTGACTATATATGATTCTGACTATATCCTCTCTCATCAACTTAATAGCATCATATCAAACTCTATATACATATCTTTATACAAAGCAATAAGAACAATTCAATCTGAACAACAAATAACTATTTTAGAGTTATGTTCATAAATAACTGACATATGTTGTTTGAAAAATAGAAAATTGGAGAATTCAGATTACTACAAATCTAAGCACCAAGCTTAAGACAGCACAAAGGACCCACAAACTGACTGAGCTTTGTGTAGCAAAACTGGGATTTAAAAAAGAACAAAGAAAATAGAAGCATAAGATAGAAAAGTAAACTATTGTATTAGCTTTAAAAGTCAAAATAAAAGGAGTGAAGCACATGTAAGTCATAAAGTTAGGCAGAATTGTACTGAAAAATTCCTATAACTAGCAGCCATTAACATGCAATATGGTTTGATTTTTCAGTTGCTATTTTGGTGAGGATATGATACAGACCATACATGCAACTAGGAGAGGTTTTTAAGCTAAGAGCTAAACTGTAATAATAAGCATAAAATGACTAAAAGTAGCAGACTCAGATTCACAAAAAACTAAGACTTTATTAAGCTAGACATCAACTAAATGAAATGTATTGTACACCAGCTGAACACCAAAGCTATTGAAATATTGTCCAATAGTCCTATTCTTCTATAGTGAGCCAACGTGTATAAAAACATGGCTACGATATCTTGAAGCGACATGTTTTTTGTTCCACTCAAACCCCAATGTCTCTAACCATCTCACAAATTGAAAGTTCTTCTATTAACGCGAAGCTCACTCTTGCATTTCACATCACTCTCTCTATAAATCCCTCTCAAAACTAACATTCGTAGCAACTTTTTGTTTCTTTTTCTTTCTTTCAATTGAACACCCTTTATTGTAACAACACACATCATATGCCACATCCAATACATCATCAAAATAATAATAACCATTGAAATAACTAGTTGTATTTTATGGAATGCATAAGTCGTGGCATTGTAGAAACCTTGAAAAAGCAGTCCAAAAAATATACAATAGTATCAATATACACTATCATAAACATTAGTGACTAGAAAATAATTTCAAAAAAAACAACCACATGATCCTAACACAAGCAATGGCTAAATAACACAAGACATAGCATTAATAAAAGTGCTACTTTGCTACATGACTTTCTGGTCAGATTGTTAGCAATTCTAGCAAAACAAAGCACATAATGCTTAACACAAGCAATAATTGGCAGGTCTTCTTGGAAAAAGTTACAAATCATCACAACAAAATAATGGCTGCTGTAGCAGAGTATTTGGATTCGAAATACAGGTAACTAATCTGGTCGTGTTGCTCTTATAAGCAAATAAACCAAAATCATATGGAAAAATTTGAAGGAAAACACATAATAAACAATAAATTACATGCAATAATAGCAATATATACCATCTAATTAGCAGAATATCGAAATTGATATCAACCACCCTAGAAATTGATATCATACTAACCCTAGAAATTAAACGAGAGAAATGACAGATAATTATAAAATCGAAATTATGGAAATTAAATAGCAATCCATGTATTTCGAGATATAAAATCAAAATACAAACAATCAAAATGAAAAATATACATATTCAACACATAATCAAAATCTAGGGTTTTTTTTAAACAAAAAAATGAGAGATAACAAACCTGAGATTGTGGATTCTTAGTGATTTGAAGTAGATAATTGAAAAAAGTGAGCGAAATTTGGAGAATTGTTGTTTTCTTAAGAGAATTATCAGGAAAATTGTAGAAAAAATTTGGGAATTCTGATGATGTCGAAGGAGAGGAGAGAGGAGAGAGAATAGTTTGGTTTTTAGTGTTAGAGCCAAGTAACGTTAATTGTTTCCCCAAGATTTACCTAGGAAACAAAGAGGTGGAAAAAATTACCACAAGGTAACGTAATTTGTTTCTTTACTCGTGAACCAATAGGGTAACGGTAAGCTGATTTCATTTCCACCTCTTCCAAAAACCCATACCAAACACCCCCTATGTACATCCGGTTATTTTGAATTTCAAAAGTTACTCATATAATCACAAAAGTTGCCCTTAGTCCCATAAAAGTTACCCTTATTACCCAATATTCTTACAAGCTAAGAGACGCACGCAATGCCTGCGCTGCATGCGCAATATAAATAATCTATCAAACTCAATTCTCTGTTTTTTCCATAATATTATCTCCTTAATTCTAATTAAAAAATATTAACGGGTTTAAAAATTATTGATAAAATATAATAAAAAAATATTTTATTAAAAAAATATATTGATGATGTCATGTAGGCTAAATAATAAAATTTGACTTCCCTCAAAAAAAATTTAAAAAAGAAAAGATGGAAGGTTTTTTTTTTTAACCAAGATGGTAGTTTTTTTATTTAAAAAAAAAAAGAAAAAACATGTGAGGGTTATTTTGGGAAAGTGAAATTTATCATCCAAAACCCCCTCTCACTTTATATATAGGATAGGATAGGATAGGATAAAATTACCCTTAAATCATCAAAAGTTACCTATATTATACAGTTACTTTTATTATCACAAAATTACCTTTAAACTATCAAAAGTTACCCGTATTTTTTTTTTTCCTTTTACTTCCCGCCACACATTAAATAAATGTACACATGATTTTTATTAAAAAAACATTTGTTTTTAACAATATTTAACTACTTTCCTCCCCCCCTAGTGATCCCAACATATCATATTTTAATATTGTTTATATTCTCTTGACTCCTCACTTATTCTCACTTTTGTTTTTTTAAATCTTTCATTCTTCAACCAACCCCACTTCTATCATAAAATAATATACTTTCTACAATTCCTCTTAAAACTCCGCATCCGGAGAAATTGAGCAAGTAATAAAATACGAACGAAGTAGTTTTCTTAAAATATACGAAGTACTTCCTTTGTTTTCTTTTAAATGCAATACACCATTTTGACACGCTTTTTTAGGAGTTGATTAGAGTAAGCGAGCGACTTTATCAAAATAATTTGAAAACCAAGATTAGAGAAAGATTAGGTACTATGTCTATAAATTATTTTGATTAATTTGTCCGTTTAAATTGATTATTCTCTTTTTTAAATTGTGTGTCAAGAAGGTGTGTTGCATTTAAAACAGAGAACATACAGAGTATTATACAATATGCAATGTATCATAATTAATACGAAACGGAGAAAATACCAATTAAAACACGAGTAAAGCCTATGAAACACTGTCCGACAGTCGACACGAACACGAATTCAACCTCATGTAACTTGACCACGAACAAATATGAAATATGAAAATATCCCTTAGATAAAGCCAAGACGAGAGAGATTATAATTACAAACATAATGAAATGAAAGTTGAACAGGCCATGTCAACGTAATTGTGGGACGTTTTTCCAAAGTGAGCCAATTTTGACAAATATTAACCAAAATGGTTGTGTGGCAAAAGTATTTACCAAACTAAGCTTCCAGGCTAAAACGCTGTCTCGGTCAGCGTTTTATGCCTGGGTTTTTTTTAAAAAAAAAATCAACCTAAAAACGCTGTCTGGGACAGCGTCTTTGTTGTTGACCTTTTTTTTTAAAAAAAAATTTGTAATTGCCTTTTATTTATAAAAATGTTTTTAAAAAACAAAAACAGTTATACCAAAGACGCTGTCCCAGACAGCGCTTTATGTACAAACTTCCTTGTACCTAAAACGTTGTCTCAGACAGTGTCTTATTTTCAACCTAAAACGCTGTCTGGGACAGCGTTTCTCTGCTGGTGTGCAAAACAGCAGCAGAATCAGCCTTTTGCCACTGATCTGCCACTTTCTTCTGCCCCCACCCACCACCCCCTGCCATGATTCTTGCCACCACAATCCACCAACAACCCCCACCATCGACCACCATCTGCCACCACTTTTGACCTCCAACAACACTTCAACCAGCTCCACCACCAACCCCAACCATTCAACAATCGTCGATAACCACCCACCACAACCAACAACACTAAAACCACCATGAACAACCACATTAACCACCACGGGCCATCCTTTCTTCCCCATTTTCGACTATGGATTCCAAATGTCTGTTGTTTAATGTACATTAGCCCCGAAGGATCTATTTTGACTGACATAAATCCGATTTGGATAAATAAGCAAACAAAACTTCAAAACACAAACAGATTCATTCAACCAGCATGTCTTATATTGATAATGCAATCGTTATATACAGCATTCCAGGAAAAAGGACAAAACAATGATACAATACGTTCACTACTCATCAATTTGGTGTAACCCTTCCCTAGCCTCACTGTCGTCCCTTCGTCTTGGACGACGCCGAGTGTAATGGTGAATGGTGGTGAATGGGTTCCTGCGCAGGGGGGGAGTGAGCTGGCTGGACGATGCGTCCTCCTGGGTTCTGAAGGGTGCAGAACTGTGGAAGATGTACTCCTCTTCCTCTGTGTGCGACGTAGGATCACCTCCACTGCTACTCTGGCCGGGGTCGAACCGCAAATGGATGGAGTGACCATCATCACCGTCCCGCTGTTAGATGAGATGACCGTGACCATGTCTGCGTAAGGAAGTCGCGGACATAACTCGCATCCGCTGGACCTGGGCTCTGGTGGGTCCGTCTGTAAGGGCGAGGGACAGTGCATCATACATCGCCACCATATCCGCCGCCTGTAGTAATCATCGATCAGTCAAGTACATGATATTTAAAAAAGTTAAAAAATGAGGATGATAAGTATAGTAAAAGAAACTCACATATCCGCTAATGACGTCATGTGCCGGGTGGTAATGGGTGGACGGTGGTGTGTAGTTGGGGTTGATGAAACGACGTGTGATAAGCCTGTACCACACCATGTACGGATCGTCATGATCCATAACGCCCTGCATGGGATAACCCTGAACGACATGACCCAACCGCTGCTCCCATAGCTGAAGATACTGCCAATGCTCCAGTGCCCAGTTTGTCTCCGTCTTTCCCCGACGGTCAATGTCGTGAAGGCGCACGACAGTGTCACAGTTCTGGGGAATAGGCTGCTGCAGTCCGAACTGTCGCATGACGCGGTCAGGTAGGTGACTCTCCACAACCTCGAAACAGATCAGGGGGACCCGGGCACGCCACTCTCCCTGATGCTCCAGTAGATGTGCAGGCATGACATCTACCAACTCCGGTACATACGGATCCCATGTGATCTGCAATAACACATCCTAAATAAGTTAGTCCACAATCATTATACACAGTACCTAAATGATTACAAATGTCTTCAGAGTTTGTACCTGATCCTCAGTGAGTCGATCAAGGGTGTCTCGGTAGTATGGGAGACCCGTCGCCGCATGTGCTTGTGTGAGTCTGGGGACCATCCACCCGGGGCAACAAATTTGGTAAGTATGTTTACAAAATGAAATCGTATATGGGGAAAAAAAATGACAATTGTTACAAACCTGCAACCGTAAGCCTCATCAGCTGCAGGGCGAGGCGGAGCGATGTACGGCTCATACTTGTCATCCTGGTGCTGCTGCCCCGGACGATGTACAGCAGGCCTACCTGGTCTTCCTACGTGGATGTGCTCCCAAGCCCATAACTTCAATAGCAAAACACAAAACTATGTTAAATATGACATTACTCATTGCATAATTCGCTTGTGATAATATACGTAGTATACCTGAAGCACAAACAGAGGTCCTCCAATCTCGAGCGCACCACTCCGTGAGGCTCTGCAAAGTTGGCGATACAACACCGCCAAAGAGGCACTACCCCAGCTGTATCCACGGATATGCTCCCAGTCGTGGTCTAACAGCTGTAGGTAAATAAGCTGCAAGTGGCTCCCGCTCTTGTTGCCGAACACCACGCCGGATATGAGGAAGAACAAGTACGCTCGAGCGTATCTCTGTACTGTGGCGTCATCGGCGTCCGCAGGCAAGCCCTGGAAAGTATCTCGTAACCAGATCGTCCTCAAGGCGGAGCCCCTAACATCGTTGGGACCCGGCTGCACCCCGAGAACCCGCACAACCAATCCAACGGGATCGACTAGAAATGATCCCGTCACCGCAGTCCCCTGTACTGGAAGGCGCGTCAGTATTGCCACGTCCCACAATGTCACAGTCGCCTCCCCAACTGGTAGGTGGAAGGAGTGCGTCTCCTGCCTCCATCTCTCCACTAACGTCGTGACAAGGTGTCGGTCGATCTCCCTGAATCCCAAGCGATGTACACCGCCAAAGCCAGCGTACGTCACGTACTCAAGGCAGCGATCATGGACAACCCAGGGGGTCCTGTAGTGCCTGCACTGTAGTGGCTTCGCTACGTCACCCTGAAAACATAGGAGCATTTATAAGTAACAAAAGATAGTACATCAAAGAATCCAAAAACGTTAAAGATGAATCATTACCGTCAGGTTCCATACGTCGACGCTCCGATGGGTGTCCTGTAGTGTCAGGACAGAAGGGTCAACAGGTCCGGGTGTCCTATCCCGTACGTCCATGATATCTGTTCATTGAAAACGTTACACACCAAACACTAACACAATATATTGAATACTAATTTCGATTGAAAGGCATAAACAGGAAATCTCGAACATCCAACGTACAAAATAAAATTCATCGAATTGAACACAATAACACATAATTCCCCCTCTCCGTTCTCGTCCTCATCATCCATTTCCGCATACACATCATACACCGACAATTCATTATTCACAACATCATCAAAATGATTTGTCTCTTCTCGAAACGGTGAACCATCATCACCTTGCATAGGAGAGTAGCTATGCAATTGCATCGGCGAAGATGCCACGGTGTTCGATGACGACGGAGCAGGCTGGCCGAACACTGTCACGCGTCCCCCTGCATGTACTGGTGAAGCTATACGAGAACTAAAAGGCAAGTGAAATTGGTCGTCCTGCATCATTCGAGTGAAAGAACCCATCCCATATGCATTCGATGGAATGTGGTTTGCGGGCTCTTGGAAGGACGCGGTGTTGTAATCAGAGACATATGTAGCTTGCTGTTCTGCCCGAGTACTTTGTTGGGTACATATAGGCACTGTTTCTACATATATCTCATTGGGAAAACCCTTCATTCCTACCATGCTCCTCAAACCTTTCAGATGTCTGTTCGTAGAGACAGGTAACACTTGCACCCCATGACCAGTATCACACCTCATTTTAAGGTTCGGTTCAACAGTCATAGGGTTTGAACCAATACAACTGTGAACCTCATTCATCAGATCAGTCACAGTCATGTTCGGTTCAAGTGTTATAAGGTCCATATTCCCTCCACTGTACTCCACATTTGATCCATTACACAAAATTTCACCTCCCCATCGACATAACAACGCTACATTTTGTCCAGCCATATTCTACATAACAACCAAAACACATTTTACGTAAAGCCGTTAAATCATCCCTAAATCACCACAATCAAACAAAAATTTTTTACATACTCTACAAATTAACTACTAAGAACCCCTAAATCACCATTATTACACAACAATGTAGGTAATTACAATTGTTCAAAACCTAATAATTATCAACCATTGTCAACAATTTTCAACAAAACCAACAACAACAATTCAACATTATCCAAACTATTATCAACACTAACAATATCAACACTACCATTATCAACACTAACAATTCAACAATTACCAACACTAATAATTCAACAATACCAACACTAACAATTCAACATTTTTAACACTAACAACTCAACCTCATCAACATTTTAACCCAATTCCAAAAAAATTAGAAATCGCCAACATAAACCCTAGAATTTAAAACACAAAGAAAGTTGAATGAATACCTATTTCAGGGTGAGGGGAGTGTATAGTGGGCTACACGGAGGGCGACGGTGGAGGTGACGGCAGGCGACGGTGGAGGTGGCGGCGCCGGGGGCGGTCTACACGGAGGAGCACAACTATGAGAGAGAGGGGGATTAAGTTAGAGTTTGGGAAAGAAGGGGTTTGAGAATGAAGGAGGAGGAAATGAAATGAAATACGCTGTGGAGGGAAAAAAAAAAACGACAGAAACGCTGTCTGAGACAGCGTTTATAGTTCTCAGAGTTAAACGCAAAAAAGGTCAACAACAAAGACGCTGTCCCAGACAGCGTTTTTAGGTTGATTTTTTTTTAAAAAAAACCCAGGCATAAAACGCTGACCGATACAGCGTTTTAGCCTGGAAGCTTAGTTTGGTAAATACTTTTACCACGCAATCATTTTGGTTAATATTTGCCAAAATTAGCTCACTTTGAAAAAACGTCGAATTCTATCCATGCCACGAAGGATGGGACCCATTCTTCGGTCACCCCTCTCGCAAACGACATCTCCCACTTTCTCTCTCCTCCCCCACATAGTATCATCCCCTCACCTTCACCTACTCTAGATTCCCCTCTCTCCTCTTCCCAGATTCTCCCCTCTCTAATTCCAGAATCATCCACCTTTCCAATTCCAGTATTTATTAATCAGTTTATTCTCAGTGTTTGTTACACTGATTTTAGCTGATTAATTTTAAGAATTTGAATTTTTCTAAGAATTTGAAGCTTCGTTAATGGCGATTGATGATGATACTGAGAGTTGTAGTAATAGACCGCTTCATTTTTCGCCGAAAACGCGGAGAAATCATCAGTATTTGAAGCTGGAAGTGTTTAATGATGTTCTTCGTAGGCTTCAAGATTCTGATTGTTGTGATGCTAAACTTCCTGGGTTTGACGATCAGCTTTGGGCTCACTTCAATCGTCTTCCTGCTAGGTAAACTTTCTTCATTTGTTCGATTTTAGGTTTGTTTAATTAGTGTAATTCTCATAATTTCTTCGATTTCTAGGTTTTGGTAGTTTTTTTTTTTTTTTTGGTGTAATTTATTGAATATTTTGGTGTGGAAGTGAATGTGGAGAGAGCGGAAGATGTTTTGACGCATTTGAGATTGTTGCGTCAAGCGGAAGAGCCTCCTAATATACTTGCTTACGACGTCCGTGTTGTACAGGTGAAAAGAATTTTACAACTGTTGGTTGAATTGACTTTTATATGGAACTTTTTTCAAAGTTAGAACAGTGGTCATGACTTTATTCCTAATTCAATACAAACTATTTAATCTTTAGGATTCCGGTGCCAAATTCGAGTATGCGTTTAGGATAGTATCGTGATTTTATCCCTAGTCCATTTTTACTCGGTTTTCGTTTTTTTTTAATTCCTATCGATGGTAGCTAGAAGTATTGGTGTGATTTTGGTGCCAAATTCAATATTGGTTTATTTATTTTTAGAAAAATGTTAAATTCTAGATGGGCTATAGGTTCAAATTAACCCTTGATTGAATTGAAGCTTGATTTGATTGTCAAATCTCGGTTTTTTGGGCTAGAAAGTTCATTGTGCCAGATTAGCTGCAGCCAGAATTGATGGATGCCTGGATAAAACAAAGTACCTAAGGTATTGGTTGTAGGGAATTTGTGTTGTGGTGTGGGTGGCCATAATCATATTGGTTAATAAGAAAGGGTCATTTTAGAATATTATCCATTTATAGGTTTCTGTTTCATGATGTTTGTTGGGAATTAGTGATTCTTGATTGCCTATTGATTCTGAGGACAAGTAATTTATTTAGAACATCCTGTTTGTAGCAGTGATAAAGACATTTAGTGGATATTGCATTATTGCTACAGATACCATTTTTTTTCCTTATAATTGATGGATTAATTTTGATTTGTGATAAGACGATAACGTTACATCAAATGGGGGTTAGAATTTCCATTGATTTTATTTTTTGGAGTTTGAAAATGAGGAATCCAACATCTCTTGTAGATAGCTGAATTTTGGGCCTATGCAGTCAAGGAATAGAATATTGATGAGCTGAAGTGTGCCATTCAGTCTGTGTTCAGTGTGCATGTTTGCTTTTCGGAATATACTCGTCAATTGTATGCTTGTTGTTAACTATGTTATTTCATATTTCCTGCCATTACAAGTCTTTTGCAAGGATAGAGAAATAATTTGCCAGTAGTGCAGAAAAGTTTTAAAATTGAGTGTGAAAGTTTGTTGCTTTGGATATGTTCTAAAACGGGGACGGGTACGAGAATAGGAAACGGCAAAATCAAATTTCCCAAAAATGGGTACGGCATGGATTATGACAAAAATATAAAATTAATACATTTGGCACTAAAAATCACCCCTTTAATCAATACTCCGCTTTCCAAATCCGGCTCATTAAAAGAGTTCACAAACTCTAAAAATCCTACATCCTCCACGAAATCAAAGGCATCTCCATTAGGGATGGTAGTGGGTCTCAGTGGCGGACCCAGGAATTTCTGACCGGTGAGTCACAAACTCACAATCGATAACCAAATATGTAAAAAAAAAAATTTACCAAAATTCCCAAAAAAAATTATTTACAAAGATCATCCAAATAGAAAATTGACAAGATTACAATACTAACTAACATTTAACAAGCTTAAAATTGACCAGACTAAAATTAACAAACTAATAATTCCAACCACTATCTATTATTAAACGCTTAAACTTGAATACTGACATATAATTAACACATTAATTTCTTAGGTTAATCTTTTCTTTTAATTTCTTCCATATATATGTACATAGTACAACATTACTAAGCATGAATGGCTTACTTTTTAAGGAAAACAAAGGAACATGGTTAGTACTAAATTGGGTTTAATCAATGATAACAAGGTATACTGACATCAAGTAAGACTCTTTTTATTGCACTAAGTCTACGCAAGTTGTGGACAAAAAACAAAAAGCTGAAAAGGACTTGAGATATAGAAACATCATCTTTTCTTTCTTTCATTTTCGACAACCACACTAGTACACTACCTTCAGAGATCACCTTTTCTTTTTAACAATTGTTTGTTGAAGGTGGGATAGAATGAATTTCAATTTTCAAGATTTAAGTGCTTTGATTTGATTATTAAAGTGTTGGAAAATTTGGGCCCTATTTGACTCACCAGGCACAAGGCCAAGTCCGCCCCTTGGTGGGTCTAGGACCCTACCCAGACCCTTTCTGACCCTACCCTAAAATACAGGTATGGATCTTATTTTGGTATGGATCTGGGTGGTTAGGGTAAGGGTCCGGGTATAATGTTTTAAGACCCTACCACGGAGCCTTAAGACCTATACCCTAACCAGGCCCCCGTACATAGAATTGCACAATATATAATTTGTTTATCTATCATTCTAATATTTTTTATTTAAATGTTTTACGATATGTAAAGTTAATCGGTCATGTTCTTATCTATTAGTTTATTTGTACACTAAAAAATAGACAATTAAAATTTAGGGAAAAAAAAGTAGGTGAAGGATCGAAATTGGACCCTACCCAGACTAGACCTATAGGGCCCGGGTAAAGGTCTAAAAATTTTGGTCCTTAAGGGTCTGAGTAGGTTATGTGATCCGGATATTGATGAGAATTTCGAGAGTTTGTTAAATCTTTACAAGGAAAACCTAAACTTGAACATTAACTCATTAGAAGCTACAAATTAGCGGTTCTTGGACGGTTCAAGCAAAGGAACTTGGTGTCTAGTACAAGCTCAAGTTCCGGATCACTCTACTTACTCTACTTAGTGGTTTTTAATTAGTTTTTGCTTGCAAGGTTTTACCTTCCTCTTAAAAGTGTTTTTCTTGGTTTAAGCACTTAAGATTAATTTTATTTTTTCAGGAATTATAGACTAAGTAGAACTAGAATTAGTTTCTTAATCTAAGTAGAATTAGTTTTCCTATTTTATTTGGGTTACTTGGGGCTAAAGGCTAGGGACTTGTCCTAGTCCTATTAGACTTAGAATTAGTTAGTTTTTAGTATATAAATAGTTGTAATTTCATAACTTTTAGATATAGAATTTTTTAGATTATTAAATCAAAGTATTTGTTTGTTTTGCAACCAAAACATTTGTTTCTTGAAGCTGGTGATTAAGTTCTTTAAGCTTTGTTTTAGTTGATTAATTAAGGGGTGGCGTGACCTTTAACTTACTTAATCTGCCTGTCTTCTTGTTTAATTCTTGGTGGACGAATCCTATAGAGAATTAGGCTTGAATTATCCTTGTGTGTGTTTAAACCTCCTAAGCATACGCATCATCTTGGTATTAGAGCACAGGTTCGGTAAAACATAAACTGGAAACGTTATACTTGGAATTTTTTAGTGATTCTTTTTTGCGTTGGACTCAAAAAATGTCCAGCTACCACGTCCTAAAATTTTGTAATTTTTGGATAAGTAACGAGTTCTACACAGCCTTGATTTGCAGTTGAGAAACCGGTTTTGTTTTGCTTCATCATTCATCCAAGATTCGATCTTTTAATCAAGATTTTTGTATAAACTAATTGTGTTTGTGTAGAAATTATGAGTGACGAAGAGAGACCAGTCCTTCCAAGGAATTTAACCTTAGAATAAGCACAAAACCTTCGAAGAGATCGACAGATAACCGAATTGGCATGAAGGTTGGATGAGGTACTAAGGAGACTTGATGTTCATGACAAATCTTCTTTAAAGAAGGGTAGTTCCGACTCTAATCTAGACTAAGTGATGAGGGGAGTTCAAGAAGGAAAAAACCTAGAAAACCGAGGAAAGACAACTTATCAAGTGATGAATCTCCGAGACCTAGAAGGAGAGATAAGTGCAAGGATGATGATAAGAGCTTGAGATTATATCTTTCAGATTTCCATGGTCCTCTAATTGAACCCGAAAAGTATCTTGAGTGGGTAAGGAGAGTCGAAACCCTATTTAATTTCAAGATGCAAGGTGGTCGAATGCAAGTTGGTTAGCTATGCAAGCTTGTGGTATGATAACTTGAAAAAGAAAAGGAAAAGAGAAGGTAGGGATAGGATTCGAACATGGAGTCAACTTAAGAAGCACATGAAGAAGAAATTTGTTCCCGAAGACTATGTGCAAGATCTCTACATAAAGATGCAGACTTTCCAGCAAGGTACATAGGTACATCTAGTGTTGAATCTTTTATTCCTGAATTTGAAAGATTTGATATGCTTTGTGATTTAGATGAAAGGTAAGAGCATAAAGTAGCTAGGTTTATTGCTGGATTGAAATGAAGATATTGCAGAAAAGATTGAGATACAACCATATTGGAACTATGATGATGTGTGTAAGGTTGCCATTTGAATTGAAAAGAAATTAAAAGGGAAGAAGGAGTTGGACACCAAGTGGGGTTCTAAGACTTTTGAAAAGCCGAATTTCAGTAAGTTTAATTCTAGCAATTCGTCTACTTCCAAGCAAGATAAACCGAAGTTCGAACCTAACCAGAAGCTTGAAGGTGAGGAAAGAGGAAGTGTTTCCAGCGTGGGAGCTATGGTCACATATCAAGCACTTGTCCTTAAAAAAGAGTGATGACTGCATATGAGTGGGAACAAGA